GTTTTCTGGACCCAGATATTTGCCTTTAAGAATCAAATGCATTCAATGGCTGAATCATCTCTCCTCTTCCACTGGCATTTGCATTCATGTTGCCTCCATGGTGTTGGATATTCTGGAATATAAAATTGGCGAGGATGTCGGGAAACCTGGAAAAGACACCAATATTTTATGGTCTGTAAAGGTGAGCGATTAGTAACTGGGAATGTAAAGATTAGGGGGCTAAATAGTATGTAAAGTGTATCGCCGCACGGCTATACTATTTGTAAAAAACTACCCAGTCACGACGCGGCTATTATTTTTCAAAACAAAAATATCCCAAGTATAGCCGAGCGGCTATACACTTTTTAAAAACATTTATAAATAAAAAAAGCGGACCCGCATGGCGCCCGCTTCGCCACGTTTTAATAACGGTATAGCCGACCGGCTATACTCTTTAAATATTTCCTGAGTGTGTAAAATAAAAACATCAAAAAAAAAAAGAATGGTGATTTCCTCACTCCTTTTTCTCATATTTTATCCACTTACACTCTTTATAACTAAAAAAAGAGTCATTTCAGCTCTGACGATATAAGAGTCATTTCGGCCCTCTCCCGACGACTCTCGCTTCGCTTCACACCAAAACAAACGTTAGCAAGCCAAGGTAGCGTTTCACCATTTCCCGTCCGTTTGGTTAGAGAGAAAAGAAGAGAAAATCAATCATGCGAAAGTTCGATCCATGGCCCGTCTTCTTCAAGCGTGAGTGGAACCGAAATTGGCCTTTCCTGGTCGGTTTTGCCATCACCGGCACTCTCATTACCTACTTTTCTCTCGGTCTCACTGGTACTCTAGCCCTATCTCTCTCTCTCTCTCTCTCTCTCTCTGTGATTATGTACACATATGTGCATACGCACACACGATATCAGTAAGCTGTGTTTTCTTTTGATTGTATCGGGGATGCCATAAATTTTGCATAGGAGGACGCTAAGAATTCTCCGTTCGTGCAGAGGCATATGACTGCGAATTTGTATGGAGGAAGAATGATTCCATATGACTGCGATATATATAATATAATATGAACATTATATATTGTATGTTTTATATGCCCCTTCTTAATAATAAATAGGACTGACTGACTGATACCACTTCGCTCACAAGCTAGTTGTTATAGGTCAAGTGTTAATTGTCTCCATTTTCAGAATCCACGGTTAATAGATCTAGTCACTCAAGTGTGTGCCTCGTTATGCCGCACAGGAAGTTCGTTATATTCAGAAGCAGCAGATAGGATATGCAAGACGACCTATAGTACAGAACCTTCTTAAGCATAATGTCATAAAAAGTAAAGGCTTTTAACTTGTGTCTTCACCATATTTAAGTACAAGAGGATCATGGGATTCTCCTACAGAAACGTTCAACAACAAAGACACTTTCAAAGACTTTTAAACCCTATCTACTTTCCCTGAAACTTAGGGATTATCTGACAAGATTCAAGAATGTCTGTATGTCGTATTGCTTGTTATTATAGGATATAAGGCCCTATTCAGTTCATAGAGACGATTATCGGATCATGGGTTCACAGGATCCGGTTATGGCGGCTGACAAGGGTAATGTAACAGAGGCCTCAGTGCGCGGGTAAGTTGTTCAGATCTTAATTTTGATATGAGCTCATAAGCGTTGTTATAAGTGCTAGAAACTTTCTATTATATGGATTTGATACAGGGTACATACATTATGTTGTGGAACCAGTATAAGTTTTGTCCCTGTCGAAATCTACTGAACTTTGGGGAATGTTGGATGTGCGACACACTAGTTATTTGTTTCGGCAGATCCTGAATTAGAAAAAAGATGCAACTAGTGATGGATACTTCTTGGAATAGAATTTATTCAGACGAAGTTTATGGTATCTATGTGAAGGAAAGAATACCGATGATTATGGTAACTATCCCAGTAAAGCCGGGCGGCTCTACTCGACCAGCCTGTCAGTAAGTGTCAAAAAATAGTATGGCCGCGCGGCTATACAATTTTTATTATTTAAAAAGAATCCAAGTATAAAAATAGTATGGCCGCGCGGCTATACTATTTATTTTTAAAAACCCATTTCGTCACATGTAAAAATAGTATAATAAAAACTGCAAACGGAATTTTTTATATAAAAATAAAGTGGATGGAAGGAGGGATATTACAGTTTATTGAGTCATTTTAATTACTGTCATCTAGGCCATTATTGGCTATTTTGTATTTGTTTTTGTTTAGGATATTGAATTAATGTTCCTTGTTTACTATATAAAATTGTCATGCTTTGGTCACGTTTATTTTGCTTAAGTCAAATAATAAAATTGCAGACAAAGTTTTCGATCTAAGACTGAAGCAATTATATGATCTAAAGCCACTGTCGGATGACTTTGGCAAGGCATCCCATATCATAGTCTAAATGTTGGTAATTAATCTCTGTGTTTTTTTTTTTTCTTTCGAGTCAGATAACCTGTCTTTATGGTTAACGTTGATGCTAACGGCAGTTTTATAATTTTTATAAGTTGTACACATATCCGAATTTTATTGGCCCGTAGTACCAATCAGCAATGTCAGCTGGTGCTATGGTAGTATTGTCTAATTTCTCCTCCAAATCGTTTGTACTTGAATAATAATAATAATAATAGTAAAATATTGCAGTTGCAAAACAGTTTCATAAACTATTGTTCCAAATCCATCCACTGATGCCATGAAATCTTTTGATGTACCAAATTGTTACAACACAAAAAATAAATACAAATTTATAAATAAACCCAATCCTAGACATGTATTTATAAAAAAACCCAAGCACTATTTAAACATAGAAACACACCCAAAATCAACCCCAAAGTCAACTTTTTGGGTGTGTTTATAAATGGGTTTTGAGTGTGTGTAATGATGGGTTTTGGGTGTGTTTATAAAGTGTTTTGGGTGTTGGGTTTTTTTATAATTTCAACCTCCATTTTGGGTGTTTTAGTGAAACTCCCAAAAATAAATAACACCATGAACCACACACACCACCGCTCCTACTATACTTCTAACTTCTTGTACAGCAACTCCAAAAACCCACTAAAATGTTTGCTAACACCACGATCCACATCTACCATAGAACCAGCAGCCAAACCATGTTGATGATAATGATGCTTCAAATTCCTAAGGTACCTAAGAAGATCCTCCACATCGCCAGAGTATTTTCCATAGTTATAAACATCCGAGATAAAGTTGTCCACGTTACTAGTACCGGTTGAAGCAAGGAAAGCAATTGTTCCAGGATTTGAACCTATCAAATTCAGATGATGCCAAAACTAATTTGATATCTTCCCCAGTAGTTTCATCCGTTCTTTTACACTCATAATAGTCAAAGAGACTCATCCTTTTATCAGCACTTAACAAAAACGGATGACCCACCACTTTTTTAACAAAAATATCATGGCTGAAAATACCCAAAAAACGAAAAAACATTCTATAAGAAAGAAATGAAGTATAAAAAAAAAACATTGATAAAATAAAATAAAAGATATAGAGAACTAACCGCATTTCAAAGTCCTAGAATCTTTGACGAACTCAAAGAAGTGGCGACATTCCAACCAATTATTTTTGTTCTCCCCTAACATTGGAACACTTGGTCCAACGTCCATAAAATGTCCGAAATATCTTTTTTCTTCTCCATACATCGTTCATCATCACTTTTTAACTCATCCAGAGATCCCTCAATGTTGATTAACTTCAGACATTCGTTAATAAATACATAGTTACTCCGCAAATGCAACTTACCATGATATAACCCCTTAGAATGGATGCAACCTACACCAGAAATCAACTCACTACAAAAAAATACAAAGAATTTATGTCAAATACAATTAAAACTAAACAAAACTACTATAACCAATTTTAACATAACATAACCAACTACCTTATAGAATTACGCCAAAATTCGTTAAGACGACCATCGCTAGTCTTGATTGGTAGTTTAAGCCTATCATTATAAGCAATTCCCTTAGGCTTTGGCTTCGCCAGCTTCGTCCAATCTTTAAGATTGTGTTCGAAGCGATCATAACATAGACTCCATACTCCCTTCCTCAACTCTGTATCATGAGACAATTCGGAAAAGTCATTTTGTTGGGAGAACAAATACGTCCACGGTCGTAAAACAACATGATCAATAGTTGTACGAGTCTGATGAAATACTTCTTTTGCCTTCACATCAGCATGTTCTCCAACAACTTTTACAAACGCCACATTCTGGACTTTTTTGCCGTCACTTTCAAAATATAAATACCCCTCATAAAATTCTTGAGAAATATTAGGATTAAACTTGAAACTGTAAAAATAACCCCAGAACCAATGATCTGGTTATGTTTATTACTTTCAGCATGCAACGTTTCAACAAAATGAAAAAACTCTTTCTGGTCCTCCATTTACGGAAAAGAGTTCTTAACAATGAAAGTAATCTGCAAGAAAAGATAGAAAAAAACAAACATTTAATCCTTTTAATCAGCCAGCAAACAAACAAAAAACTAAAATATAAAGCATAAGGTAACCTTTGATTATCTTGGACAATGAAGCAAAAACGATGGAGTCAGAGAGATCCAGTCCACCAGCACCTTTGATTAACGAGAGCGAAGCAATAAATTCAAAGAAGGTAAATTATATAGGGCTTTGGATTAAACCACTTCCTCAATTGGCCCTAAAACCCAATCATAAAAAGGGTAACAAAAAAACAAACAGGTAACACTAGGAATTTTTAAATGGGAAACTAAATAGAATACTAAATTAGAAAAGGAAGTCGTACATACAAATAACATACGCATATTAAAAAACAACTAAGTTTTCATCGTGTTTCCCTAATTTTTTAAACAAAATAAAAAAAACAATTATAAGTTTCCTGTTTTCTGTCAACAAAATAAAAAACAAGGAAACAATTATAAGTTTCCTGTTCCTATCAAGATTAATTAGGAAGTTATATAATACATACATCACTTCACGGATGAATGAAAGCAAATTCATCTCTTGAATATTCCAACCTTCAGCATATATTTCATACCCACAACCAACCATAATAAAACTCCCTTCTGCCGCGGCATCCCTAAACCCTAAATTCCTTTTTGCCTCAATTTAGCATTCCAATACCATGGCCGCCGCTGTTGATTTCACCTCGGGTCAAGACCATGCCTTGATGATGGCTTCACCCCAGGATGAGCTCTTGGCCAAGACATCGAAGATCAAGAAATCTCTGCACAAGATATGGGAGATGGAGAAGTCTTTGGGCGAACTGGCCCGGATATGGGAGATGGAGAATTATCAGGGCGAACTGCGGGAGAACGAGAAATATCTACCCACGCTTTTGGCCCTGCTCGATTTGAAGAAATTAATATCGAAAGAGCTTTGCCTACTACGCCCCAGTAGGGCCGGCAGTTGCAAACATGGAGACGTTCATCCTTACCCAAGGTCAGTGCATAGCATACTAGTGGATTTCATATTCTTAATTTTTGTTTCTCTGTAAAATTGTTGATGTTCTTGATTCGCATTGCAGTTTTTTTTTATTTATTTTATTTTATAAAATTTTGGCCTTCCTTCATTTATTAATATCTCTCTTCTCTATCCAGCTTGCCCATGGAGGGGATGACGGTGAATCAAGGGCAAGAAAGATCTGTGTTTTTAATGGTAAATTTCGTTAGGGGCAAGTACACTGGTGCCTTATATGAAATTAAATTCAATTTCGGAGGAGAACTTAAGGATATGGGAGCACCTCGACCTGTAGCCAAGTTCAGCAGTTTTAACGTTCGGGGTGCAAGGATTTTCGATCGCTCCCAACTATATGTTTTTACAGAGGAGGGTTCGGATCAACTTTGCCTTAGGTCATTTGGAGGGTTTATCTTTGATACAAAAACTGGGAATTTAGATCCCTTGACAGAGTCTACCGTACAGTTTAAGCCGCGTGGAACATTTGTTTCGGCATATGGCACACTTTATTTTCTTGAAGGCAAATCGCCCTCGGAACCAAGTCGGTGTCTAGGTTTTGGGAAATACGATCTTGATAAGAAGGATTGGGTGCGAATGCCTTTGTTTCCATTTTCTTATGGATATACCATGAGGGTAACTGGTTATGCTGTTTGTTATGGCCTTATTTTGTATACATTGTCTGACTTGCATCGAAACTTTGATGTCGTTGCTTTTCACATGGCTAGAAAGGATTGGATACGAGTGGAAGTTGAGACTTATACTCCTTTCCGAGGGAGGGCTGTGGTTGTAGGCGAGACTATCTATGCCTTAAATTTGTCTAATGGGGAGGAGATTATAGCATACTCCTTGAAAAGGAAAGAAGATGACAACGGTGGTACTACATATTCACTAGTCCAACTGTTTAAATTGAACGACCTTGAGATTGCTGTTCCGCCATTGCAATTTGGTGAACTTGTGACTGCCTGTTTGGTTCATCTAGGGAACCAAGACTTTGTTCATGTTAAGACTGCCACTAACAAAGAATGTGATGAGGTTCAACATGTTTGTATCACCACGTTTCAAATTGTTCAAGGAAGAAGACACATAATTGAGACCTTACATTCAACAATTCTTCCTATGGATATTGAAGCCCGTAATTGGTTCAGCCTTAAGTTCTGCTTTACTCCGTAAGTTTTCTTCACATTTCTCGTATTTTCATCAATAACATTAATTTGTACATTGAATTTTGTTGTTTATGATGATTATGACTCTCAGAGAGTGCGAGGATTATGAACCCGTAGAAGCGGAGAGTGCAGCTAGCACGAAGAAGCCAAAACAAGAAGATGAAATCATTCTGGATGAGAGTTCTTTTATGTGGGAGGTAAAAGGAATGTGTTTACATGAAATTATTTTATTTGTTTAATGACCATGAATCAATAGAGACTGAATTGTTTGCATGTCTATAATTGTTTTTATTAGCCTTCGAGTCTAATTTATCATAATATAATTGAGTTTTGCAGGAAGAAGCAAGCACGAAATAGCTGCCAAACAGCATGAGAAAGCCTCCATGTAGCATGAAAAATGAATCAGAAAAAAACCCAAAGACTGCAAACGGAATTTTTTTATATAAAAAAAAGTGGATGGAAGTAGTGATTACAGTTTATTGAGTAATTTTAATTACTGTCATCTAGGCCATTATTGGCTATTTTGTATTTGTTTTTGTTTAGGATATTGAATTAATGTTCCTTGTTTACTATATAAAATTATCACGCTTTGGTCACGTTTAATTATTTTCAAAGATTCTTGCTTGGAACAATGGATATGTGAATTCTCTCTCCATTGTTCGGCTATGTTGAGGCTACAGGAGGTTTTATATCTCTTTGTTACATATTCACTCTCCATTGTTTGCTACCATTTAATTCACCTGTATGTTGCATATTCTTAAATTTGAATTTATTGATACTGGCATTTTTACTGTTTTGTTTGGGTGTTCAAAGCAATTTTGATAAGCAATTTATTGATCTGAACAGTGAAGAGATGGGAATTGAGAAAATTTCCGAAGATAATATTGATTTTATGGGCATTAATGTTTTCACTTGAGAGGTTGCCAAAAATCTGGTTGAAGATCCTAGAGAGAGACATTTGCATTGTTAGAGGGAGTAAAAAGAAGCCAAGAATAATGAAATATTCCAAATATCTTTTTATTTGGAAAGTAAGGTTTTAATTGGATGCTAAGAGATCCATAATTAATATGAGCAAGAATTACTGTTTTGTTGGCTTGTCACCAGGTGGCGTAGCGATTGAAAGAGAAAAATGAAACAAAGGATTGGATAAGAGTGGAAGTTAACACTTATACTCCTTTCGAGAGAGGGCTGTGGTTTTATGCGAGACTATCTCTGCCTTAAATTTGTCTAATGGGTAGCGTACTCCTTGAAAAGGAAAGAAGATGACGGCAGTGGTACTACATATTCAGTAGTCCAACTGTTTAAATTGAAACGACCTTGAGATTGCGGTTCCGCCATTGCAAATTGGTGATCTTGTGACTGCCTATTTGGTTCATCTAGGGAACCAAGACTTTATTCATGTTAAGACTGCCACTAACAAAGAATGTGATGAGGTTCAACATGTTTGTATCACCATGTTTCAAATTGTTCAAGGAAGAGGACATATGATTGAGACCTCACATTCAACGGTTCTTCCTCTGGATATTGATACCCGTAATTGGTTCAGCCTTAAGTTTTTGTTTTACTCTGTAAGTTTTCTTCACATTTCTCGAATTTTCATCAATAACATTAATTTGTATGTTGAATTTTGTTGTTTATGATGATTATGACTCTCAGAGAGTGCGCGGATTATGAACCCGTAGAAGTGCGCTCTACCAGCTGAGCTAAGACGGCTGTTGTGTTTAAGACGATCATCGCCGGTCTTGATAGGTAGTTTAAGCTTATCATTATAAGCAATTCCATTAGGCTTTGGCTTCACCAGCTTCGTTCAATCTTTAAGATTGTGTTCGAACCGATCATAACATAGACTCCATATTCCCTTCCTCAACTCTATATCATGAGGCAATTCGGAAAAGTCCTTTTGTTGGGAGAACAAATACGTCCACGGCCGTAAAACAACATCGTCAATAGTTGTACGAGTTCAATGAAATACTTCTTTTGCCTTCACATCAGAATGTTCTCCAACAACTTTTACAAACGCCACCAAAAAAAAAATTCTATAAAAAGTGGATGGATGGAGGGATTACAGTTTATTGAGTAATTTTAATTACTGTCATCTAGGCCATTATTGGCTATTTTGTATTTGTTTTTGTTTAGGATATTGAATTAATGTTCCTTGTTTACTATATAAAATTATCATGCTTTGGTCACGTTTAATTATTTTCAAAGATTCTTGCTTGGAACATACTCTCTCCATTGTTCGGCTATCTTGAGGCTACACTAGGTTTTATATCTCTTTGTTACATATTCACTCTCCATTGTTTGCTACCATTTAATTCACCTGTATGTTACATATTCTTAAATTTGAATTTATTGATATTGGCATTTTTACTGTTTTGTTTGGGTGTTCAAAGCAATTTTGATAAGCAATTTATTGATCAGAACAGTGAAGAGATGAGAATTGAGAAAATTTCCGAAGATAATATTGATTTTATGGGCATTAACGTTTTCACTTGAGAGGTTGTCAAAAATCTGGTTGATTTTGTTAGTCGGTTGAAGATTCTAGGGAGAGACATTTGCATTATTAAAGGGAGTAAAAAGAAGCCAAGAATAATGAAATATTCCAAATATCTTTTTATTTGGAAAGTAAGGTTTCAAACTTTCAATTGGATGCTAAAAGATCCATAATTAATATGAGCAAGAATTACTGTTTTGTTGGCTTGTCACCGGGTGGTTTTGACGGAATTGGAATTTTCATTAATTTTCCCTTTAATTTTGTTTATATTAAGCAAAATAGGGGCAAGTAGGGGCAAACTATATAGTCCGAGGACGTTGAGGATGGAAAGGGAATGGTACTGTAATACTGTTGAGACAGTGATGGTGGTTCGATTCAGGTGATGAGATTACGGAGAAGAATGACAAACTTAGGCAAGAAAAGAAACTCAGTACACAAGAAAGGAATGAGTTGGGTGCGGTGAGTTGCCATGATTGGGAACTTGCACAGAGTTTGATTATGTCAGCTGATCCACAAATTCTTAACTATGCTTTTGCTTTGTGCGTCACTTTGGGTTCAGTATGGTTAAGAGCTTCATGGGGTCTTATGAAAAGAGTATAGCCGAACGGGTATACTATTTAAACTATCCCGGCAATGCCGCGCGGATATACAACTGTTATTCCATAAAAGGAATCCCAGTATAGCCGGTCGGCTATACTATGTATAAAACAAAAGGGCCTGGCGTTAGCGCTCATTTTGCCACTGTCAAAAATTGTACAGCCGACCGGCTAGACTATTTTTAACAAAAACCGGGGTATAGCCTCACGGCTATATTATTTTATTATAAAAAATCCATGTATAGCCGCGCGGCGATACTATTTATCATTATTATTATTTTTAAAAAAGCCTGTGCTAGCGCCCATTTCGTCACATGTCAAAAATAGTATAGCCGCGCGGCTATACTTTTTATATAATAAAACTGTAGTATAGCCGCGAGGGCGTACGACTATTACTATTAGAAAAAACTATACAAAAAGGACCACCCACCCGCTTTTTATACGTACGTGTTTTACATGTACATGTTTCAAATTCTTATGCTTGCTGGTAAACGGAGCGGTGTTAATTCTCTTGAAGGCGTTGCATTTCTTCTTTGTAGGACTTTATTGCTAGGTCCGATGACAATGGGGATTTAGCTCCTGAGCTAAGGGCTTTTCTTCAGGGGTGAGTATTGGTCAGTGGAAGCTTACTTGGATGGAATAAGACAAGGACAAGAACATTACATGAACATTGTGAGGATTTTAGATCTTCTGGCCCCCAAGCTGAGGGTAGCAATTGCGTACCTGCTGCTATATAGGGAGTGTGTCAAGGCAGGTGGATGTTTGGTGTCACAAAGGTTGAGAGGGCAGCTTGTTGAAGCTGTGACAAGGCTTGGTGATGGGATCCTTGATTGTACTTATTTTGGCTTTGATCTTGAAAGAAACCATCAACAAAGGTGTAGCTACATGCATGACAATACTAAGGAATATTAACCACGTAACAAGGTGCTTATTACCATTGACAAGTTCAAAAAGTATGAATTTAGTAACAGGGTTTCACATATGACAGTTTTTTTCTTCTCTCCATTTCAACTTCACATAGCAATTCAAAGCATATATACGCAAGGCCAATACGACTGTTTTTGAACTGCTTCATTCAATATTTTTCTTTTATAAGAACTTCTCTCCCTCACCATTTCGGCTAACTGCAAGTTTTTCCATTCATTCAACTCATTATCCCTCCCTCTCCACTTCGACTAACCCCAAAAGTATTTCCATTCATTCAACATGTTTGCCCGAAATAATAACATTGGCAATGCATAAATTCTTCGTTACCATGATTGAACGTCATAGGTTTTGTTGGATAATTAAAGTGAGTGGTAAATTTGGAATTTTGAATAGTGTGTAAGGTTATAATGGGCAGGAAAATGAATTCTGGATGGGTTAGTGATCGAGCATTCTGAATACCACCTCCCACTCGAAAGACAAAATGTGAGGCCTACTTACTTATGAATTGCTTGATGTAAAGTAAACACGTTCAATTCATGATTTTAATTCCAATTGCGAATTAGTACACACGCCGTGAGTTTATTTGAAGCACAACAGTTGCCATGTACTTGAGTCCCAATATTTATAATTCCACATTACATTGTAACCTATTCATTTAAAAAGGGCAGGAAATGAAAAAGCATGGCGCCCGCCATTTTATTTGGCAGGAAAAAACGGTACTTTGAAATAGCGGGAAAATTCCCAGTTTAAATTTCCGAAATCTTTACACCCCCAACAAAGTTTCATATCCCGCCACAAAACAAAACCACGATCCACGCCACGCGTATTCCCAAACAACACCCACCATCGATCCCACTTTATCAACGTCTCAAAATCACCCAAACCCAAACCCAAGGATCAACGCCTTCACCCGCTCCCGCTATAAATAGACTCCTCCCACTCATCCCATTACCACACCGCACAATCATTTCACATTCTCAGTAACTCCATCTGCAAAACGACGCCGTGAGCTTCCAAGATGTCTGGCCGTGGAAAGGGAGGTAAGGGCCTGGGCAAGGGCGGAGCCAAACGGCACCGTAAGGTCCTTAGAGACAACATCCAGGGCATCACCAAGCCTGCGATTCGAAGGCTTGCCAGACGAGGAGGCGTGAAGAGAATCAGCGGCCTCATCTACGAAGAGACCAGAGGTGTTCTCAAGATCTTCTTGGAGAACGTGATTCGCGACGCCGTGACTTACACCGAGCACGCTCGGAGGAAGACGGTGACCGCCATGGATGTCGTCTACGCGCTCAAGAGGCAGGGCAGGACCTTGTACGGATTCGGGGGTTAATTTTGTAAATGCAGGGATCGAATTTTAAACGGTCCAGATTCCGCGATGTAATTTTTCGCTATGATTCGAAATCCAAGTGTCTTTTCTTTGTTTGCACTTTGCCAGTAGCACTGAGTAGTTGTAACGTCCCATTCAATCGCGATCGCCATCATTTTGTTTTTTATAAATTTTATTTACCGGCAAACAAAAAAAAACAAATGCTGTTATTGTGGGCCCGGCAATTTCTGGACCGCTAAACTTTTCTGACGTGGCATAATTATTTTTGTGGGTCCCGCTACTAAGCCGACAGACCCCAATCCCGTCGTTGTCGAGAGCTCAATCTTAACCCGTAAACCCACCGAAGTCGGCTGGGAACGCCAAACCTTCCTCTCCTTTCTCTATGCCATCTCTCGAAGGCCAACGATTTACGGTGGTATATCCGTAATTATCCGGATTGGGCGATGGGCATTCCGTGCGACGACGTCGTTGTGATCAAGGAGGGCAAGACTCCCAGCGAGCCCTCCGTCGCCACGGTCAATTGTCCCGACAAGGCCGGCCTCGGCTGCGACCTCTGCAGAATTATCCTCCAGTTTGGCCTTTGCATTACGAAGGGAGGTAATTGATAATTTGATCTCTCATTTTCTCACCTGGTTTTTTGGAAATTTCATGGTTGGGTTTGTGATTTTAGATTTTGGTTTTTGTGTGGTGTAGATTTTTCGACGGATGGAAGATGGTGTTATATAGTGTTGTGGGTTGTTCCCCATCACAGCTCGCTCAAGGTTGATTGGGAGAGCTTGAAGGATCGGCTTTCCTCTGCGTGCCCACCTTCGTGTTTCTTCTCTTTTTACCTCAGTCAAGTCTCTAATGTCCCCACACCTCCTCCAGTCTATCTGTTGAAGTTTTGGTGCCATGACCAGAGAGGCTCACTGCATGGTCAACATCATTACTTTCTCATTACTTGTTCTTGTTATTTTATTTTATTTTATTTTTCTTTAATTTTTTATGCATTTATATGTTTGAGTAATGAAGAAGTTATTGTTTTGTACACATGTAGATGTTACCAAAGTCCTCTGTGAGCTTGAAATTCTGATTCAAAGAGTCAAAGTGATGCCCACCCCAGATGGCAGAGTTTTGGACCTCTTCTTCATCACAGATTGCTTGTGAGTTTTCCGATGCAAGGATTTGCACCTTCAGAAAATTGCATATCAGTATTGTAGTTATTAATTTTAGCAACCATAGTAATCAGGAACTATCCACCTTTGCTTCAATTCTCGTATTTGTTTCTGTTCCAAGCATGCTTGACATTAAGGTGCCGGTGTTTGCTGTTTAATATTTGTCTGGATTGCGAATAACTCTTAAGACTTTGAGATTAGATGCCAGTCTTAAGATCTTCCTGTTGGCTGTGACCCTTTTGAGTTAGTTATTCCCACAGTTTTAAACAAATGCATTAGCTTGGAAATACATAAGATGAATTGTCTGATCTGGTTATAGTTTTTAACTCCTCCACCCTTTTTGCTGGGACAACCACATATGTATTCTGGCTTGTTAGTGTTTTGCATTTCTTCTCGTAGTATTTTGATTTTGGATATTTATTGTAACCAAACTTGGGAATTCTTTTATGTTTAATGAGAATTCGTTGTCTCAACAATCGCTTCATAAGGGTAGTTTCTGAAAGTGCATAATTTGATGAAATAGTAATTGCTCAGAAATGTTGGTTATACTTTGCAACAGTTATTGACCCCCATTATTTGGTGCCATATAATTTCAGGGACTTGTTACACACAAAACAGAGGAGAGATAACATATGTGAGCATCTGATGGCTGCTTTAGGAGAGTATTGTATCACCTGTGAGCTTAAGTTGCCAGGGCCTGAGTATGAAAGTCTGCAGGGGAATTCTTCTCTTCCACCAGCCATTGCTGAAGAATTATTTAGCTATCAGCTGAAGGATGAGGAAGCCTATCCAAAAGCTATCAGCTCAAATATGGGAGCGGTAAAAAAGGCTAGTATTACAGTGGATAACTCATTGAGCCCTGTTCATACAGTGCTGCAAATACAGTGTGTTGATCAAAAGGGCCTCTTGTATGACATTCTGAGGACTTCCAAGGATTGCAATATTCAGGTACTTTTTCATGATGTGTTGGAATATATTTACTAAGTACCATTTTTCAGTGCTTGCACCTGTAGATGTTTAATAAAAAGAATCTTCAGTTTTGCTTTTCAGTGGTCATAACTACCCCTATTGAATGTGTCTTTTCTTTTGTGTTAGAATACTTACATATGTTTGCAATTTAAAAGTTTACTGATAGAAAGTCTTTGTTGTTTCTCATTTAGATCGCTTATGGTAGATTCTCTTCAACTAAGAAAGGCTTCCGAAATTTGGACCTATTTATTCAGCAAACAGATGGAAAAAAGATTGGGGATCCTGAAAGTCAGGTTGCATTGTGTTCTCGTTTAAAGGAGGAGATGGTTCACCCATTGCGAGTGATCATTGCCAATAGGGGCCCAGATATCGAACTCCTAGTTGCTAATCCAGTTGAGTTATGTGGAAAGGGGAGGCCCCTTGTGTTCTATGATGTTACCCTAGCACTAAAAAAATTGAGAGTATCTATTTTCGCGGTAAGAATTTGTTCTGAGTTTCCTGTCATTTTGTGGCATGCCCCCTTTCTTTATCTCATTATTTCATTGCTGATGTGTAGGCTGAAATTGTAAGGCATTCAACTTTAGATTGCCAGTGGGAAGTCTACAGATTTCTTCTGGATGATAGTCGTGAATTTCCGTTGGCAAGCAAACAAGCTAGAGGTAAGATTGTAGAGAAAGTTAGAAGAACCTTGATGGGGTGGTGAACTGTTAATTTTCTCCCCTTTTGAGGATTGCAGTCTTCCCATTTAGTGAGTGTGCTGTACAGCAGTTCCATAAAAATAGTTATAGTTATCTGCACTAGAGGAGTGTAGAGTCTCTGCTGGCTATTTTAGGATGAAGTTCACGGTTGTGTACTAGGACACTTCTGTGAGACTGCAGAACTATGTTTGTAGCTTTTGCCGCAAGGCTTGCCGTCCTGCATATGTACTTCTGTTTTGTTCAAGTTTGGAACATATGTGTATGTTGTATTTTCATCTTCCAACTGCTTTATATCGAATGGAAATGTATTTTCTGTTTTCTTTGTATCCTGAGATGTGTTCATCTGAAAATGATGATTTCTGCTGGTTTGGTGGTTATGGTTC